CCCTCACAGTGTCAGGTGCTTCCCGCCGCCACCCTCAGTGTCGGTGCTGCCCGCCACCACCCTCAGTGTCAGGTGCTGCCGCCACCACCTCACAGTGTCAGGTGCTGTCCGCCGCCACCCTCATAGTAATAGGTTCTGCCCGCCACCACCCTCACAGTGTCAGGTGCTGCCGCCACCACCCTCCATAGTATAGGTTCTGCCGCCGTCACCTCAGTGTCAGGTGCATGTTGCCCGACGCCACCCTCATAGTAATGGGTGCTGCCCGCCACCACCCTCACAGTGTCAGGTGCTGCCCGCCACCACCCTCATAGTAATAGGTTCTGCCCGCCGCCACCCTCACAGTGTCAGGTGCATGTTGCCCGCCGCCACCCTCACCGCAGCATCTGGTAATTTAATACGCTGCAACTGTCTTATTGTCCCGCGGGGGAAATAAAAATTACCTCGCCAAATGGATATTGGACACAATTTATTGCCTCTCTTAAATTCGTTAGAGGACTCTTACAGCCAATCAGAACATCAGGTGTACGAGCACATTTCCAACCAATCAGAACACCTGACTAGCACATTTTGCACATTAGGTGACGATCCCTTTTCTTGGACAATAATTGAATCAGATTATCAGTAAGGAGTGATAATGCTCCTCACTCCCATACAAACTCTTCGTTAATACACAATAATGTGACGTAAAACAATAATGGATTCACTATTATTGCCGCCAGATATGTTAAAGACAAGGGGATGGGAGGGGCGGGGAAGGATTAGCAGAAAGATTCGGGTGTTTCGGGAGTGTAATGATTAAGTCACTAGAGATTACGAAATATAGTTAAAGGTTAATAAAAAAAAGGAAACACGAGGATTGGATTTTTCCCTTCACCAATCATCTCAACCTTTCCATACGCCTAACTTCCTCACATGTCTCCCTCAAATCTGTCTTCCTCACATCCATCTTCCTCACACTGGGAGAGATTGACCTTTAAGCTTATTCACCTTTAAGCTTATTGTATTATTCACGAGTGTCATTAGTGAGGTGAGAGAGGAGGATGACGCGGGAGAAGTAGAGGGGTGAGGTGAGGAGTGTAAACAAGCTATCCCCTTCATTGACCCAATCACTGGTTCACCTGCACGGGTGTGTCCACTTTAACGCTGCCCACCTCACCTGTCTCATACCTGCTCAGACACTTAGTTAGCCCCAAACACCTGGTGAATTATGTCGACGAAAGAAGACGAGAATTTGTCGGCAAGAAAACGAGAATAGACCTAAAGACGTGTGTTAATGTCAGTTCCATTATTTGGTATTAACAAGGGCTACTCACCACCTGTGTAATAGCTAAAGGGTTGAATTAATTTTCATGTGTGTGTTTGTTCATTTATGGCGAGTTGGTGTTTTGGGTACAAGGCTGATGATGTGACAAGGAAGTTGATGAACATTATCTGGGGGGCGGGGGGGTGGGGTTACTACATGGACTTTTGTGGTGTTGTCGAGGATATGAGAGAGAGAGAGAGAGAGAGTTTGTGTGTGTGTTTGTGCGTGTGGTGGTGGTTGAGGGGGGCGACGCACACTGTGTAATGCATCAGCAGGTCAGAAGGTCAGGCGAGCAGGGGTCGTGATACCTGGTCCTCCCTCCTTCCCTCCCATACCAATCTCTTTCCTTGCCTCACACCTCTCCACCGCTTCCCTTCAACAGTCTTTATGATGGCTGTCTCTCTCTCTTTTGTTCAGCATTATCTTCACACCTGGTCATCTCTGCTTCTTGTTCCCTTCACTTTAACTATATTTTTATCTTTATCCTCACATTAGATAAATTCAGTCGGGCGTTTTTCTACATCCGGGTGAAGCTTCCTCCTGGACAGAGACCCGCGCCACCCACAGTGACCTCTGTAGTCTGGACCACCCCACTCTCAGTACACAACACAGTCGGTTAAAAATTGTCCCGCCACTTTCAATAGTCTACCAATTCATCTCGAGATTTAAATCATGGTACTCAAGGTTTACTCATCGTATTCTATTGGAAGGGTGGGCATCTAGGTAGTGGCCTGGGGAGGGTGGGCATCTAGGTAGTGGCCTGGGGAGGGTGGGCATCTAGGTAGTGGCCTGGGGAGGGTGGGCATCTAGGTAGTGGCCTGGGGAGGGTGGGCATCTAGGTAGTGGCCTGGGAGGTGGGCATTAGGTAGTGGCCTGGGGGGGGTGGGCATCTGGGGGTAGTGGCCTGGGGAGGTGGGCATCTAGGTAGTGGCCTGGGGAGGTGGGGCATCTAGGTAGTGGCCTGGGGAGGGTGGGCATCTAGGTAGTGGCCTGGGAGAGTGGGCATCTGGGTAGTGGCTTGGAGAGGGTGGGCATCTAGGTAGTGGCCTGGGGAGGGTGGGCATCGAGGTAGTGGCTTGGGGGAGGGTGGGCATCTAGGTAGTGGCCTGGGGAGGGTGGGCATCTAGGTAGTGGCCTGGGGAGGGTGGGCATCTAGGTAGTGGCCTGGGGAGGGTGGGCATCTAGGTAGTGGCCAGGGGAGGGTGGGCACCAAGATAATGGCCTGGGGAGGGTGGCCACTAGCGTAGCTGCAATAAAGTCTTAAATAACTTTATAAAACAAGAACACGATGATGATTACGTAATTCTATTATTAAGGACAATTTACTGGATACATTGTTCATAGCGGTGCGTGGCGGCCATCTTCCCACGCCTCACCACACACACTTTTTTTGCATGAGAGACGTGTTTATAATTCAGTTTCATGCTTCCCCGTGACCGTGTGATTTGAAAAGGCAAATGGACCATGTACACGTCTTATGCACCCTACGTCCAACATGACTGTATATTTAGTGTATTTTCTGGCAAAAAGTGGACCCCCCTTCCGCCGTGATTGCAGGTGTGGTCCCATAGTGAGGTAGTTAGAGTGAATTTGCAGAGAGTAATTGTACCCCGCTAGACTTATGAAAGCATTCATTATCACAAAAATTAATGGCCTTGCGAGTCATTACGTAGTGAATGCGTGACCTATTTTACATCGGCAGGTGGCCAATTTGCAATGGTGTCGGGGGTGTTGTCTGTTTATACGTATTTCTAAAGTAACATTAATCTTTTCCACACCAGAGTTTGCCTCATTTATTTACGATTTACGAAGCTTAACGCAGGTTTATGAGTCAGATTTTATAAGAGGAAAAACTAGCGTTCCTGCAATAATTAACGAGATGTGTCACGTGATGTGACATCAGCTTACTCTGTCCGCTGTCCCGAGTCCGTCAATAGCAAATTATGGCACGTCTTGTAGCACATGTTAATCTGTTCATCAGAAATATTCATATCAGCGATCTATTTACGAATTCTTTAGTTCAAACGTTACAAACCTACGGGCAGCTCACTCACCGACTCACTACCGCAAGTCTACTCTTCTCACTGAAGTTGATAACTTAGCCTGTAAAATTTGTGAGTCAAGTCTCCGCTAAGACTCAAGGATCCAGTAGTAAGCCTCAGTTTACCGGTAAGTGATTTTGTAACATTACTTGAGAATCAAATCCTTTAGAAAATACTGATTAATATATAAGGTTTGGGTTCGTGGGGTCGTGGGTGTGTGAAACATTGTCGAGACACTGAAGCCTCGATGATAGTACAATTAAGTTATTAACAAAATTATATGTTATATGTATAAATATTAGGAGGTAAAAGTACTCTAATAAATATAATACGTAATTTTCCTCACGTACACAATTCTCAGAGCGTAAACATATAATTGCTGTTTAAATTCTGATCGGACAATTGTAAATTGTAAAAATCGGGTAAATTATAGTGAACGCACTACGCTAACTTATCAAACTTTACAACATATAATACTATACATTAGTTTACATGAAGCCTTCATCGTGTGGTTTGTGGATAACTAAACTGGTAGCCAAGTGTGTACGTGAAACGAAGATAGAATATAAAAGGTTTTTGCGCGTGGCGTCACAGTTTGTTTACACCGTCATGCTACCATAGTGTGTTGTGTGTGAGTGTATGTGAAACAAATGATAGAGTATAAGATATTTTGCACGTGACGCGTCAGTTTGTTTACACCTTTGAACTGAAAGATGTTTACCTCATTAGTCAACTATATACTTCTTCAGTTTCAACACCAGCTGTTGACAGGAAGGACTTCTAAGACCTGCAAAAAAATCGCTTAATCGCATTAACGCGACAGACTTATCCTGTGTACAGAAAAAAATAAAATATTTTTGATATTAACCTGATTTGTGACGTCTGAAACATTAAACAATATTCTGAAACATTAATGCGCCTCCCTAGAATATCTCATCAGCCAGGGGTGAAAGGTGTGTACAACGTTGTTGTCATGATCACTAGTAATGGTTACAAGTACGCTATGACGTTACTCTTAATAGGTGACATCAACACTCTTCTCGTGACGTGACAATCTTCTATGCTCACGGTACACCACAATGTATAACATTATTATAAAAATATGAGAAACAATAAAAGTGACAACTGCAGCAGGTGGCAACAACTCTGGCTAATGTCACGTGGTAGGTCCCACTCATAAGTGGGCGTGAACACTTATAATAATACCATTTTTTTATAATTTACTCCATTGAAAGACTTATTTTGTTGCAAATCATCAAGAACCACATGTCATACGTGAGAACACCACATAGTACCTGTGTGTGTACCGTCACAGGTGTGGGTAACATTATGAGAGTTGTTGTAGAGAAGTTACGGTGGTGACAAAGACGTACACGTGGCAACAGCCCACGACTAAGTTACAACTGTTATCACCTGCCACCACCCACCTCCTCCTACCCTCCTCTACTCTCACCTACTGCTGAACAAAACACTTGACATCATTCCTTTAAAGTCCCGATCAATGTAATCGTCTTTCAATTAAACAATCACAATGAACAAGTTTTGAACATAACCAAAGTTGAGAGGGAAGTATGGTGCAAACAAAGAGTGTGTTATCAGAGGCGGGGCGAACACACCCTTCCTGCCTAACGTCAGATAAGATAACAAGGAGCCTAACTAACTCAGGTGGTGCCCATACGCCTCACACTCTCTCCTGCACCACTACCGCCCTTGCACACTGCTACTGCTCCTCCTCCTCCCCTGGGCGACTTCAAATTCACCAGCAGGCAAAGCGAAGCCTCCCGAGGAAGACACAGGTGACGGTAGGAGATCAAGGGGGTCCCGGGGTGTGTTATTGACAGTGAAAGACACACAATGGGGTTCCCCGCAGCGTGGATGGTGGCGGCGGTGCTGGTGGTCGGGCAGCACGCGGTGGGAGGCGTCAAGGAAATGGGACCCAAGACACAACTGCCTGACGACACCTTATTCAAGGACCCCGCCGCTTTCTGTGAAGGATGTTATGGCATGGTACACGGTGAGTAGTGACCTGCTGGGGTACTGACGACCGTGTGCAGAGAGGTAAATGTAGAAACAACAAAGTAAAGAGGCAGAAAAGTAGGGGTATATATATATATATAAGTGTGTGTGTGTGTGTGTGACTGTATATGTATGTTTTAAAGCGTGTATGTTTGTGTGTATGTGTCTGGGTGTACGACCTTATGATTATTTACACAATTCACTGACACAAACGTTCTACATAAAACCACCAACACCTGTTTTTTATAAGAGGAAGATAATGGTAATAATCTTCTCGTCTCATTAACATACGTCGCTAAAAAGTTGTATTGACATAATTATTCGCCTGCAGGGGGAGACTACACTTGTGTATATTGTTAAAGTGTTGGTGGGTGTCCTCTCGTGACACAGTGATAGATAGATAGATAGATAGATAGATAGATGGGTAGATAGATAAATAGATAGATAGATAGATAGATAGATAGTATTATCATCATACAGACAAGTTAAAAGTGAATCAGAGAGTCGTCCGGGCCCGTGGTGGTTCACTTTCCATGGCTCTAATAGACACGCTAGTCAGACAGTATTATGATGGCTGCTTTCATATCGTGGTCGCTTGAGGCTCTCCCCATCAAGCGTCTCTTCCAGTGCACCACACAGTTTGTTTAGTCATATTAAGGAATAAATGAGGAAAACTAACGACTAATCAACCCGGGGTAGTTAAGCCTTGTTAACAATAATCAGTAATATAAACATTGGTACTCACCCTTATTAACAAGTTGGGTGATAATATGACCCTGTATTCACTTACCACTCAGGGTGACATTACTCCTACCCTCTCACACAGAGTTGCACAAACTGCTGCTAAAGTGGAAGAAGGAGAAGGGCTCCCTGGAGGATCACATCGACGCGGCGCTGCTGGCGGTGTGTAGTACAGACCGCCTTAGGGCCTACGTCCTCTCTCCTCCTAAGATGGTGCGACTCTGCTCCGGCATTAGAGGTCAGTTCTGCAAGTCAGGGTAATAAGTATCATTCTGTACACTCATACATTAATCACTCTTCCTAAATTAGAAGAAAGAAAAATATCTTGACATGGCAGAGTTTGGGTGCTGTTTCCTCCACTGTGGGCTGTAATCTTTGTGCTCAGATCAGTGAGTCAGGTACATGAGCTACTACATCTCTTTCTACTCGTACTATTTGTTTCAGTCCTGCTACGGTTAGTGCTTCTGTTAATACCACTATCAATATAATTATTATCGATGTACTTCTTACTACTATTACTGTGCTGTACTACTAATACTATTATTACCAATATCTGGCTCACGCCTTCACCACAATGTAGCAGCTTTACCCCCCATCATCACCATCCCCCCACACATCACTCCTGTCTGGCTATGACTCTCGTGTAACTTGCAGCTCACTACGAGGACGAGGCTGGGCTGGTGATGCTGAAGCAGTACTCCGCCAAGAAGAAGCCTAGTGTTGACAAGGTGTTTGAGTCTTTCTGCAAGAAGACCATCCCAGCCTGCCCTAAAGGACTCAAGCCTATGTCCGTCGCCAGGAAGGTCAGTCAATAACTTTACAACCCATCACGTGTCTAATGAAGGCACAGGAGTCTCAATTAATCCTCATTGTATCTTCGTCATTTGTCAGCTAACTAGAAGGTCGTCGGTATGCATGGGCTCTTGAAAGTACCTGAATGTGACGTGCAAGAGACGGGGTGACATTTTCTATGGTCAGGTTATACTGGAGAATCGTGTGTAATATGGTCCTGGTCAGGTTATATTGTATAGACCACAATTATATAAGTGAAATATATCAATATAGACCAGATATACCACTATAGTATGAAAATATAGACCACAAGTATACCGGCACGGTGTAACACTATGGATCAGATATACCAGTATCCACATTTCCCCTGCTGAGATTAATACCTGTGTATACATCTACCGGGTAAAGAAGGCTGTCTAGCTACTGTGTTTGTGGAAAAACCGACCATTGTTACGATCATCCTCAGAGGTGATGAGTGCGCACGTTTGTTTACTATGCCCTGGGCCGTGGCTCATTTTCAGAAATAACCGATATTACATAAATACAGATCTTTAAATAATATGTATTTAAATTAATTATATGTTTTATTTATAATGATTTATGGACGTAATATAAAACGACAGATTCATCACCTAGATTTACATCACAAATTAATTTAGTCTCCGCTAAAATAGGATTTTATTCATACCATTAATATCTCCTGCAGTAAATCTTTGTATACATTTTCGGGATAATGAGATAAGGTGTTAAAGCTGTACTGATATAAAGTGTTAGATGAAATATATTTTGTTATTTCCTTTATTTAATAATTTAACTCTTTCCTCGGTGATCAGAGCACAGATCTTTCATTGTACTGGGATTTAAAAGTAACTTGTGAAATTTAGGCATTCAAAGAAAACGAACTTATTGTAGGGTATCCTACACCAAATCTTAGATTTTCCTATTGGGTCAAAATAGAAAAGTACACAATGAACCTCGTGCTAATAACTCACTTTTAGACGTTATATGTTTGCTTAACATCCTTGAGTAACTTGTATTAACAGCAGGGGTACTGTTGATACGTTGTGCTGCCAATGTGAGGAATCCTGACGTAATATTCCGTAAAATCTATATCAAAGAGTACTGTATGTTAAAGTTTTCCATCAACTGACGAAATGAATGGTAATGGATAGTCATATCAGAACTACTGTGAGTGTGTGTGTGTGTGTGTGTGTGTGTGCAACAGAAAACGGCTTCACCTGGGACTGGGAGATTTGTAAACACAATCTCTTTACATCATCAAAAGTACATAAAGTGTACACCGACAACTTCTAATACTAAGTAAAATGACGAGGAAAGTACACTCTCTACACTTAGGTTCGATAATTAAAGATAGACTAAATAATTCATTAAGCATCAAGTGGATACAGAAAGTAAGTCATTCATCTGTTTGTTACTGATCGTCTGCTGACCGCCATCCCACAGGCTCGATTGGGAGGATGAGTTGGATGGTTCGAGAGGAAGTTGATCAGTGTTAAGGCAGGTAGACTCTCCCTCCTCACAGGTAGACTTTCCCTTCTCACAGGTAGACTCTCCCTCCTCACAGGTAGGCTCTCCCTCCTCACAGGTAGACTCTCCCTCCTCACTGGTAGGCTCTTCCTCCTTACAGGTAGACTCTCCCTCCTCACAGATAGACTCTCCCTCCTCACGGGTAGGCTCTCCCTCCTCACAGGTAGACTCTCCCTCCTCACAGGTAGGCTCTCCCTCCTTACTGGTAGACTCTCCCTCCCTCTCACAAGGATCGTCTTACGCTCATCTAGAAATTTGAAGAGTGAAAGACGAACTCCAGTAATTTTGGGATTAAGAGCCACTCGTCTCAACACCGCTTAATTGTCTATCTCTCTCTCTCTCTGATCGCCTGTTTATGTTCGAAACCTCACGAGAACATCTACACATTCATACTTTTATATCATAGTAAACAGCGAAGCGCAACGAACGAGAGACAAAACGAAGACGATAAGAGAGGAAATAAAATACAATGCGAGTTAGTTTTACCTCACAGAAAAATCAAACCCCGAGGCTATGTTTATAGTGTCAGTTTTATACATATACAAGTTGGAAAAATCAGCGAACATTGCGTTTTCTACTGCACTAAAATGTTTTGGTTTTGTTGAGCGATGTTTACGTCGGTTGGGGCAAAAAAAAAAAAAAACATGTCGAGAGAGACAGAATAAATTGCAAAATATGTGTTGATATTTGTTTAAGGCTGGTAAGAGTGACGAGTCGTAGAAACATTTAGCTCCTCGCCTGACAGTGCAACACCCTCTCAGGTACTGGTGTTTATAAAGTCTCGTCATGCTTCTGTTGTTACTGTTACTGACCCACACAACAATCTGGTGGTGTTATTGTTGTACAGATATAAATAACCAACTCTAAACTATTGTTTGAAAATAAAATAACTCGTGACGTTATTAATTTCGCAGTGAGCTGTGTCAAGTGTTAGCAATTGAACAGAATTCTGCTTCATATATTCAGAATTTAGCTAACATTCACGATTCATATTAAAACATATATAAGGAAGCGTTTTATTTCAATTTATTATTATAGATACACGTGTGTGTGTGCGCGCGCTCGCTTGGTCTGCTCACTAAATGATTTTTTAAGGTTCGAACATTATGTACATATATATTTTTCTAACTGGAGACGAGAGACGCATTAGTTATGGGAGAATGACACTATTCTTTATGTACAGTACCTCTTTTGTGCGCCAGACGTTATGGAAGGGAGACAGGTGTATGCGTCGTCATAATCCTCAACCTCGGCTAAAATTTACGAGGCTATGAATATCCTGACCTAAGCGTCTGTCTGATACCTTTGACGGGCTGAGTGCAGAGGCCGTCTGGATCATAAACTGTATGTATCCCTGTGGTCTTAACACTGAATAAAACTGTTGATGTTAAGCCATAATTTGTGGAGGCAGGGACGTCCTCAAAACACAAGAGTCTATCTGTTCCTGAAGGCTGAGTCCTGGTCAGTGGTCCTCCTCGCTACCACAGCTGCGGCCTCATTCTTCATCCTCACTGTACACTAAGCTTCTATTCGGTCGCCACTGCACTCAACCATCTTTACTCCCTAGACTGTAAAATTAGCTACCTATTGTTTACACTCTTCCCTTGCATCACCTCCTTCCTTTCTTCTCTTGTCTGCCCTCTCCCCTTGTTTCTCTCCCCCTAACTCCTCTCTCCCTTACCTCCCCCTCCCATCTTAAATCCCCCCTACCTTATCTTCCCTTTCCTCTGCCTCTTCTCTCCCTTTGCAACCTCTCCCTTTTTGTCTCCCCTCTTCCCGTTGGTTTCTGTGGCCTGCTCTCCCCATCTATTGATCTGAACACGGTGAGGGGGGAAGAGGGGAGAGTGAGGGAAGGATGGGAGAGTGAGGGAAGGATGGGTGAGTGAGGGGAGGAGGGGAGAGGACAGTCGTCACCAGTCTATTTTCAGATACACAAGGTTTATGTCCGCCTGTCCCGCCTCCATCCAGCCCCTACCTCCCTGTGTTGTGGCTGATGAGGGCTGGGCAGGGAGATGGGTAGTGCAGGACAGGGAGGAGGGCGTAGCAGGGAGGGATAATGGGGAGAGGAGGGCAAGGCCGGGAGGAGGGCAGGGCAGGACGAGGGAAGAGGACATAGAAGGCAGGGACAATATTTGGATAGCGGGCATAGAAGTGAGCTGCTAAAGGGATAAACAAAAATAATGATGTGATTGAGTGGCCAGCCTGAGGAATGTAGCTCTTAGGGGTGTGTAGGAGAGGCGCATGAAATAAATATGAGTGTGTGTAATAATGGAAAGAGAAGAGAAGACAGAGAACCCGATAGTGAAGTATATTTTAGTGAGTGAGAGATAGTAGGTGTGGGTGGGGGAGGGTGGTGGTGATGGTGTAGGACCTTCACCCATCACCACCGCCAACTGGACGCTGGGGCACCAGGTGTTGACTCTCGACTTGTGAATTGTTTGGGGTTGTCATAAAAGGAGATTTAGAAAAGATTTCAAAAATAAATCATAACCCAAAACAGAAAAACTGAAGTATGAAAATATGATTCCTTTATGAAGACGTGGGCGACGGGAACCCGGCCAGCAGCGGGAGGCGAGGGGGCTATCCCGCACACTGGGGAAGTCCCACTACACTCACGACGACAGCAACAGGAAAAGGGATATCATAGAGTGGCCCTGACACACACACACACACACACACATTCCACCGCTCACTACAAAAGGAAAATTCTGCAAGTCACCAATAATACCAGCAAATTTTCCTGTTCAACTACTGTTTCGTGATCCAGAATTTAGGGCGATTTTTTCCTTGTTGTGTCAGAGTTCCCGGCAGTTTAAGAGTAGTTTGAGTCATCAGCGTACCGTCACTGTAAAAGCCCAGTGAAGTGTCATTTCCTCATCAACAAAGCAGACATTTTGCGTCACAGCAGTTGTCAGGGAATACCGCGATAAACTCCTGTACACTAAGATCCTGGATTCTGAGAGGGTCGTATGTTGAATGTTCCCCTGACTGGAGATATGACACCACCGTCTAATTGGCTTGTTTAACCAGCAACACAAACACGATGGCCAAATTCTGTTAAAGAATTTCACTGAGACTGTATATTAAAGTGTTCTCTTACTGTGTGTGAAAAGTTAACGCATGATTTGATCTGAATTTATTGAGTAAAATTTCATACAACATGTTACAAGAGGACTAGAAGATTAAAATTAGGTACCAACACATTTTGATTCTTAAAAACATCTCAAGTCTAACATTGTTTGATTAAAGTGACAAATGAATATACAATAGAGTACTCTTACCAAAACTATTTACTAAGGATATGAGGACACCGAAGTTAAATATATGTTAGGTTAGGTTAGGACACACTAGGTGACTGTGTGGGCGTGGGGACAGTGTTATCATGGACACTATTGTAGGTTAGGCGAAGAGGCGGGTTGACTTCATGAACAGTTGTTGGCTATACTGTTAGAAGGATTTTAATATATCCAAAAGTAAAGTGTGTGTGTGTGTGTGTGCGTGTTCTCAATTTTCTCCAATTTTACAACGGAGACTTATTCAACTGAGACCTAAAAGATTAAATGTTCTCAAGAAATGACAAAGAAGAAATATGGAACTTATTTCTCGAATGGTCGGGTCTGTCAAAGCAGGAAGGGGTTATCAGGCGTTAATCCTTTACATACCCTGTCACGTGAAGTTGTTGTCATGAGGCGATTATATTTATTTATTATTGTCTATTTGTTTGTTTTTTCAATGTATGTTTATATATTTAATTTAAATTCCAAGAAGTATCAATAAAAAAGACTGGATTGTGTATTTATGTATGTAATGACGTGGAATATCATGATAACTATTCTCTCACTATTTCAGGAAAAGACGGAGAAAGCGGCTGAAGAAAAGAAAGCACGGGAAGAAAAAGAAAACAAAGAAAAAGGGGAGGAAAAAACGAAACAGAAGACAAAGACGAAAAATGATACAAAAAAGAACAAAAAGGATGAATTATAACTTCTCACCAGCCTCTTCCTGGACGCATCTTGTTACTCTGTTGTTAAATTATTGTTTGTTAATGTGAGATGATTATTTTGTACAAATTTTCCATGTGAATTAAAAGTAAACGATCTGATACTGATACTAGTGTTCGTGTTTGTGTTAACCCAATGGTAAACAGTGTGTTGAATCGATCTAGTTATTTTAAGCTTATTTCACACAACAACCTGAAAATAAAACTTCAAAATTAAACGAAAGGTATGCAAACTCCATGAATGGGTTATATTCCAACTATATGATTATTTAACGTAAACATTAAATACCAAACTCCATGTATGGGTTATATTCCAACTATATGATTATTTAACGTAAACATTAAATAGTTTCTGATACCTATGGCACTGCACATAAAAATCTGAAAGGGATTTGCACACTAATAGACACCACAAAAAATTACCCGGGACAATATCAGTTAAAATTAAAAGCCTTGAATGCTTCTTTCAGGTATTACAGCTCTTAATACGATGCTTTATTGTTTATTTTTCAAGCGGGCAAATAACAGATTCATGGGTCTATAGTTTACGACACACGTGTTGACGAGGACAGCAGATGCAGAGTCGGGGGATTTTTTACGGTAAATATTTTATTTCTTTGCGTAGAAAGCACGTAGTGTCATATGATTAGTAATTTCGCCGCGTTTTACCCCGCACTTTCCCTCATCCTTCCTACCCTGCCCACCACAAGTAATTTGTGATCGTAGGTAGAAAAAAGCTAAAAACATAATTAAAATAAAGTTTTCGTCTGTTTTAAAATACTTACCACATAGAAAAGAACATCCGTGGACAAAACGAACGAAATTAAACTTGCGGTGGTAACCTTCTCCAGTGTTACTGTTATTTGTAATCATTTGCTATTTTTGCCCACCCGAACAGGCTATTGCTGACTTTCTGAAATAAATTTGTTTCCTACCATTGCTGCTCATATCCACTCCAGGAATTGTAATTTACACATTCTGGTTTTCCATGGTTCTTCTGGAGAAATTTAGGTAAAATTTTAGTTTCGGTCATCTCTATATTTATATATCCAAACCTAACCAAACAAACGTAACTTAACCTAATGTAACCTAACCTAAACTAGCCACAGAACCCAGGAATATCTAACCTAACCCAAATTCCTAAGATTCTCCGGATGACCGATATTAAAATAATACCGAAATTTGAAGTCTTTTAAAACAGGTGAAGCGAACCAAACAAACCTAATCTAACATATCTTACACAATTTAAATGTATTTTAATGTTCATGTCTTGAATAAATGATTTCACGTCGAGTCTGCCTCTGACAGTCGCAGTTTAAGAGTTTAATGTTTTGTTTTGTTTTTTTAGTTTATAATGGGTAGAAATATGTTAAAAAGTATTACACGTGTAAAAACAAAATCAAGAATGACGATGTAGAGATCGTAATCACAAAACAGTTCCAGCGAGACGACGAATTGCATTAGACTCCTCGGTAAGCAAGCCATGAAAAAATTGAATATGTAAATTACTATTCCTGGGGTGGATATGAACTACTCTTATGGTAAATATATATATTTTTTGTGTTTTCGAAAGTCTCTAAAGTACCAAGTTTATGTGCCCAGGATTATTAATGTTAGCGTTTTGTTCATCAGGTGGCGGCCGAAATGTGACGAAGCGAGAAAAGTCTCACGCCATCTATGGAGGCGAATAAGAGCATTTTACCAGACACATTAACAGTGTTTATAATCGCCAGTGTGTGTGAGCCGTAGCAAACTATCTGTATATAACGTTCAGTTGGGAAATTTATAGTTTACGAGTTGGTAATTAGGTCATATCTCCATTACTACTGATATATATATATCCCACGGAAATGAAGGTGAAATTCGTATGAAACAGCGAAATACTACACTATATAGACCTATTTCCCTTATAAATTTCCGCGAATGACAACTACGGAAGATTTACCATCAACTGAATGAAAAAACAATCTAGATAAATAGGATTTGTTTGGTTATTAGAAGAGAGTTGTTTACCCTGTGAGTTTTGATGATAATATAGTGGTGATTTGTTTTCTTTGGAAGGATATAGAATATGGAGAATAAACAAAACGAAAACAATGGGTCCAAACTCCGGCGGTGTGGAGTGAAGGAGGAGGCGGTGGAGTGAGGAAGGCGGTGGTTCCTTGCCCATGATATACCTGTATATCCTACCTGACCATAGACTCACACTCACGATGGGTGAAACACCTCGACAGCCAACTGGTGCCTCACGTGGTAGATTACCGCCAGCTAGTGCTTTAGGTGGTGGATATAATGTGGCCAGTAGAATGTAAACAAAGAGACCTTGACGTACCAGCTGATTACGTACTGTAAACCTGACAGAAGAACTTGGCCGAGACAAACCACACACCCCTTCCACCGCCTGTTGTGACAACCTTTACCACTACCTGTTGTGACTCCTTTACACACACACACACACAGGGAAATAATGATCCATCAGTCCCCCATCAATCGACTGCCAACTTGTCCTCAACATTCCTCAGGACACAGCGACTCTCTGATAAGCCAGGAATGTGAAGTGAGATTCTAGAGACGAGAGTTGTTCAGGTCATCACTCTCTTCTACCTATGTCTGGCCTCTCTTCTACCTGTGTCTGGCCTCACCTCTACCTGTGTCTGGCCTCTCTTCTACCTGTGTCTGGCCTCACTTCTACCTGTGTCTGGCCTCACCTCTACCTGTGTCTGGCCTCTCTTCTACCTGTGTCTGGCCTCTCTTCTACCTGTGTCTGGCCTCTCTTCTACCTGTGTCTGGCCTCACCTCTACCTGTGTCTGGCCTCTCTTCTACCTGTGTCTGGCCTCTCTTCTACCTGTGTCTGGCCTCACCTAACCTAACCTATAAAACAACATCCATTATACTACTATTTACCCTCCTTTTCCTTGTATCTTGCACCGTGTGTAAATGTGTACGGGTGTTTGTTCAGAGGATGATGTGTTGTCAGTCACAAGCACACTGACGTATGTATCCATTTCACCTAATCTTCATTCACTTATTATTCAATCTTCATCTGCATTACTCCATCCCTTCACTTCTCTTTGCACGATCAGTCTGTTCTCTACTTTGTCTCAAGCTTGTAATAGTCTATCTAACCTTCTTCAAACACTATCCTAGACGTCATCCTTCCTTCCTTCCTTTTAGTACATAATAACCCCACATGGCTGTCACACACACACAAAACTGTTTTATTCGCTCTAAGCTGTGTCTGGTAATTAATGTCTTGAAACGCACACATTTTATTTTTCGTTAATAGTCTCTCTCTCTCTCTCTCTCTCTCTCTCTCTCTCTCTCTCTCTCTCTCTCTCTCTCTCTCTCTCTCTCAGCCCTGCCTTCTTACGTCCTTTCTGTCATGCCCTCTGACGTCCTGTCACACGTACACACAGCTGGTACCGTCCACCACGCACGAGTTACAGTCAGTTCTAAATCCCTAACAACTACCACATACTCACCTTCGGCGAGTGTCTACGCGTGTCAGGACGTGTGTCTGGTGACCTTTTCCCCGCGGCTACTCGTCTTTCTTACACTCTCAGAGAAGTAAATCAGATATTCACCAGCTACTCAAATGAAGATATTTTAGGAAGTTATATCTTGGTTGTTGCTATAGGGCGGTCGATTGGTCTGTGGCTCTCTCTGTATATATTCCTCTTGTAGTTTTCCTTGCTCACCTTCCACAAAGAATACGTGGAAAATATTTAAGATTCTTCGCTAAACCAGAGATATTTCTGTTATATTCTCTTACATAAAGTACTACGCAAAATTTCGTGGCAGTGAAGGCCACAGTGACTCCCAAAGTATAACTAGTTTCCTCATTCTCTTTACCTGTTACAGAGGTGAGCTGCGGCACCAACAGTGAGGCAGCGATGGTTGTATTGGGCCTTACGAGTCACTGTATAACGTTATCAAGGAGTGTCATGGAGCAGCGAGGGGCACACTTACAGCACCTGCTGAAACATCAGGTAAAGTAATAAGGTTTGTGTTGGCACAGAGATGTGGGAGTCAGTGTGTACGTCTACAAAGAGAGACACTTTCACACCGGTTTAATTCCACCTTTACTGTACACACACTGGAACAAGGGTGTGTGATCCACTCAATGGCGGTGAATGTTCAAAATGGGGTGTGGGTTGGTGTAGGGTCTTGGTCGATCACAGGTGTCCAAGGTGAGGTAAGGGCAAAGAGAGATCAAACAAACGTTGTTGTCAAGTATATTCATCGAGGCGAATTGGTGGAAGTTATATGACAAGAAACGCTCTGAGGTAGGGAGTGCCACACATGACTATTCCTGGGGTATATTTGAGCTTTGGTAAGCAGAGGTTCTTCAAAATGTAAGTATAAAAAAGTCATGGGTGGTGGCACTATTGAGTATAGCTCGTCACAACTCTGACTGAGAGAATATTTATAGAATAGAGAGAAAGCTAAGAGAGTCACATGTGGGTAGGTGAGACATACGTCAATGTTTTCACTAAGTTACTTACACGAAAGCACTGTGTTCTCTTCTACTGTGTCTTGTCAGGAAAGTAATTTTCCAACCAGGTGAAGGTGGTGTTGCTAGGCGAGTCATCACCACACGGGGGCACCACAGCTAGGTGGTGTTGCCATGTGAGTCACAACATCGTCCCTCGAGGTCGTGTAATTCAGGTGAGTTATGACTAACACACCGTCACTACTCACGCCACTCTGAGTCCACCGTCTATTAAGTCGTTGACCTCATAGATATTAGGATATGTAGATAAATTAATATTCTGTAAAATCACCGTCAAATTAACATTGGTTCAGCATATACATAGACCGTGCAGATAAACATTGAGTCGATCTGACAAAGAAGAACCCCCAAAAGCCATTAAATGTTATTTCAATTGGGGATTCTTGGTCGAGTATTGGTGTAAGTTGTGGTGAGGTTCACTGTGTAACATGTTCCTCCGATCAATAGTTACCATCACGAGCAGGTGACCACCGCTCGTCAGTCACAGCAGCGTGAAGAGGAACCAATAGCGGTGTGGAAATAGAGCTCCCTCCATGGAAAAATGCTTCTAATATCCTTTTTTTGTGCTGTCCTTGGTCAAACCGACTTATGCTTTATAA